TAGAGAATAAAATTGGCTCTTAACTGTACCTCAGTGCAGAGCGGCACCCTAATCCAGCCACCCCGGGCTGCCAGGCTCCGTTGTTCTCCCTCAGCTCTCCCGTATGCTTCGATACGGATCTGATCCCCTGCACAATTTCATGCCTGCTTTGCCCTCTTCTCCTGCAGCAAAGCATCAATTACCCTCATAAAACAAATTCTGCCCCATTCAGAAGCTTCAGCCAAACGTGCTCCCAACCCCACATCTTGAGGCAGCCAAATGGCCACAACTCAGTTTAAACTTTGAGTTTGTTGAGCAGCACTTTTAAAACGTATATGAACATCTCAAAAATACGTTTTGAAGATTATAAAGAAACGTACAACTTTAACTACTACCTATTATGCACTCGAGCAAATCTGAAGCACATTCACACATACACTTCCACAAATACCCTTGAGGTAAGGAGAGATTTTTTTTCTTTTAACAAATAAGAGGGAAGCATTACATTTCAATTCAGGGCTTGGGAACCACACCGTGCAGCAGGGCCACTCACTTACTCCCTGACCCCTGACATCCATTTCTGCCAGGCTAATCCCAGGTTAATGACGGGGCCAAAGAACATCAGGAGGGGACATAACGGTCATCTTAAACACACAAACACACACACATTTATGAACCAGAGAAAAACCACTGTATAAACACTGACTATGAAACTAACAAAACAGCTTTCAGTAGCCTACCTAGGGTTGCCAACCGTCCCGTATTAGCCGGGACCATGGATGTATAATAATAACTGGATACAGCGTGGGAGGCGGGGCCTCATTCATTCCTATGAGTGTTGCTCATTAGCGCATGATGATAAAATGGCCCAACTTTTGAGAGAGCGAAACGTCACAGATTACCCGGCATGCCTGAGAAGTACCCGTATGTGCGCTCATAGCGCATGCGCAACTTTAACCAAAATGCTCGTTCACATCAAGCACGTCAATTTGCGTACACGTACCAGCACCGCACGTTCATGACAGCATGGTAATGATTTGTTATTATGATGGTTTGATATTAACGAGGCGGCAGTTAGCAGCTAGCGGCTAGCTAGTCATTATGCTAATGTACACATCAATCGTTATGTACTTATATTACGCTGTAACAGGATCTAGTGATATCCAAGCAACAGAGCTTCATTTAGCATGAAAGAATGATTGCACTGTATATATATATATATATATGTACTTATAATAATAAGTAATATTAACTTTATTTAATACAACATTTACAGTACTCGATTTAATCATACAGCCCATTGTAGTATGATAATGAATTATAGCAAACATGTGCAATATATCCATTATTACAGCTCCGTGGGATGACAGTAAGACGATATGGGTCCGTTCTTATTGTGCATCCATGGGTAAAGAGAAACGCAACTCACATTGGTTTTTCATACAGCATCTCTGTAAACTACGTGTATTCACTGAATTCCACTCTCTGCCTTTAACGGCTCGTTGTAGCTCCAATAGCTCCAGCCCCCACCCTTCCTGGGAGCACAGTGTGCTCTGATTGGTCGGGACACGTAACATGAACGTGCCGGGCGGCGCGGTCCCGTGGGTTAGATGCGCGTTCATAATGCAGAGGGAAATAACTCTCAGAATAACGTTATTAGCACATTATTACAACTTGAGGAACAAATGTTTTTAATAAGGGCTATACAAGTGTTCATACTGGGTAGTTTATTTAGTTTAAAAAAAATTATCCAACGATTTACAGACCACTCTTTCCCCATGTAAGTCAATGGGAAAAAGTGTTTCCGGGCCTGGCAACCAAACGGCGCCAAGCCCCCAGGAAGTGCGCCGGACTCAGATGAAAATATTCGTGCTGGCCAAACGGTGGTACTACACTTCCGTTTTGTGTCTCAACTTGCCCCAGTGTAGGGGTAAGTTGATCCAGGTCAGGGGGTAAATTGAACCACGGTTCAAACCTGGGCATACCTACAACACATCTTAAAGGTAACTATAAACAATAAATAACAAACCAAATACAAGCTTAGTTTTTCAAATATTTTTTATATAAATTTCGATTGAATTGATTGATTTTTTTTTAACATGTTAAAAGGAAAAGTAATCATACAGATGGTGATACAATTTCATACATCTTACCAATCAAACACAGGGTAAATTCAACTTTAAATGTAGCCTACAATGAGCTCTTATCATCAACTTGGCCTACTTTCATTCATTTCTCCATTGAAAAAGTGGCTCAACTTACCCCAAGGCCCATGGTTCACTTTACCCCACAGCCACCATTTTAGAAAAAATAGCCTAGCATTAAAATTCAGTCATCTTTAGCTTAATGATTCACATGGTTTAATACATTTATAGAATTTTGGTTAAAGTTGCGCATGCGCTATACGGGTACTTCTCAGGCATGCCGGGTAATCTGTGACGTTTCGCTCTCTCAAAAGTTGGGCCATTTTATCATCATGCGCTAATGAGCAACTCTCATAGGAATGAATGAGGCCCCGCCTCCCACGCTGTATCCAGTTCTTATTATACATCCATGATATTTTTATCTGAGTCCGGCGCACTTCCTGGGGGCTTGACATCAGATCCATGGTCTATGTCACTACCCGATCCGTCCCCCTGCCCGATCGGTACTGCGCATGTGCGAGATGGTCCGCCATATTGGACAACTCCGGACGGCAACCCAAGATGGACACTTGACACAGTGGCTTTTAGCAAAGCTCTAAAATAAAACGAGAGAGAGATGAGTTATTGTTATTACAACGTGACTTCACTATTATTTAACAACTCTTTTTATTGGGTTCTTTTATTTGGGGTTAAGTACATTGTCAGAATAAGTGAGAAGTTAATGTAACTTCTGATAGACAGCCATATGCCATACATGTTTGCATACATTCACAGTCAATATTTATTCAGTATGATAGCTGTCTAACAGAAGTTAAATACATTTCTCACTTATTCTGACAATGTACTTAACCCCAAATAAAAGAACACAATAAAAAGAGTTGTTAAATAATAGTGAAGTCACGTTGTAATAACAATAACTCATCTCTCTCTCGTTTTATTTTTGAGCTTTGCTAAAAGCCACTGTGTCAAGGGGGTCCATCTTGGGTTGCCGTCCGGAGTTGTCCAATATGGCGGACCATCTCGCACATGCGCAGTACCGATCGGGCAGGGTGACGGATCGGGTAGTGACCAAGCCCCCAGGAAGTGCGCCGGAGTGTGATGAGAATATTCGTTGTGGCCAAACGGTGGTACTACACTTCCTTTAGGTTGCTGGGCCCGGAAACACTTTTTCCCATTGACTTACATTGGGAAAGAGTGGTCTGTAACTCGTTGGATATTTTTTTTTTAACTAAATAAACAACCCAGTATGAACACTTGTATAGCCCTTATTAAAAACATTCGTTCCTCAAGTTGTAAAAATGTGCTAATAACGTTATTCTGAGAGTTATTTCCCTCTGCATTATGAACGCGCATCTAACCCACGGGACTGCGCCGCCCGGCACGTTCATGTCACGTGTTCAGCACTACATGCGTTTATCTCAAGCGGCAAACTTTGGGGAAGAGCCGGTGTCAGTACCAGATATGTTCGGCCTACCAAATATGTTCGGGTGTATTTCCGTCGCATCCGTCATCCGTCATATCCGTCATATACTCACCTCCCTCTGCTCCCAGCGCTATGCTGCCACACACCGGCCGTCTGCGGAACTGCAGCCGGAGGAACTCGGTACAGCTTGTTATGTGTGTGTACTTAATTATTTACAATTAAAAAATATATATATTCTGCGTTACTTTAGCCAACACTTTTATAATATATAAGCCTGATCATGTCGTTGAAAGCAAGTACAGATGTTCTCCCTTTTCCACAGTTCTGTGTGAACTTCATCTAAGGTAGATGCTTTGCTTCTGCACCAGTTTAGCAGAAGTCTGTTTTGTAAGACTGGTTTTGTTGCAGTCTGTTCATGCTATGTGTTTCTTGCGTAAGACTATATACACACGGAACACATGTATTACAGGGCTGTACCCAGTGTGCTTCATAAAACATTTTTGAAGCTTATTTTTTTAAATTAAGCCGTTTCCATGTTATAACAGCATCTCGTTAAATCAATATCGGAAACAATAATTGTCTTTTTGTGGTTATTTAAATGTAATTTATGGTGCTATTAGAGTGCTTATAGACTGACCCGTTAATACAGATGCCCCCCCCCCCCCCCCCCCCCCGCCCCCCCCCCCCTTTGTGTGCGGTGAGCTGGAGAGAAGGCAGTCTATTTATTTTGGTGAAAAAAAAACCCCTAACATATATGGATTGAATCAGAATATTGTGTTGGATCAAAACATATTGTACATTTTGAGAATTCTTACATCTATTACAATACATTTTGAGCTTTGGACAATGTTTGGATCAAACGAGCCAGAAACAACCTTAAGCAGCCACCACTGGAATATTATTGCAGTAATATCATAATACTAGTAGCCTTATATTAGTGTAGCCTAATATTGATCGACAAATATTTAGAAATAAATCTGGTTCTGCCTGCCTGCCTCATCGCACTATGCCCTGCTGCATTACCATGTATAGTATTTACATTCATAATGATCCTTTTTTGTTGCAGAGCTTTAGAGGCTTTAAGAGACGAACTGTCAATGATGCCAACTTGGCGACCTACAAACTAGATATAGCAATCTTGGAGCTATTGCGGCTAGCTACTTTCATTGGAAAGAGTCTCTAATTTTTTGTATGTATATATTTCATATATCCATCCCAAGCTTACCTACCCAACTGAATGAATTCACACATTCAAGTAAATAGAAAGACAGCACAGCATTCAAGTGTTTATTGAGAATTTGAACTTCAACGTTAATGGAAAAAGCTCCAAACTTTTCTCTACAGCCCTTAGTATCAAGAAATCCTTCTAGTTCCTTTTACATGTGGATAGGAAAACAGCACAGATTGTTCAGAATATATGAGGAAGCCATCAGGGAAGCAGCATGACCCAAGGCAGGACTGCAGAGACAGGTTCAGCCACGACCCGAAGTCCACGACCCGAAGTCCACGACGGGCAGCGTCCGGGAAAACCAAACTTGAAGGTAAGATATCAAATGATGATCTTCATTAATTGCAGTGACAATTTAGTCTATTCTGACATTTGTTTGTGTGAGTTAATCTTTACCTATGATATCTGGTTGCAGAAGGGACTGCAATAGCCTGGATGTTGGTCATCAGAGTAGATGCCCTGCAATTCTCCTCTTTTACCTTTCCCAACATATCCTATGAATAGAAAAAGAAAATATTGTAATTGAATCACACTAGGACCACAACACACTAAATATGTAATGACACATAAACATTATTATCCAGAATAAGAAGTCTACCTGGTTTGCAGTTTTTGTAAGGCTCCAAGCATCCACGGCAGGTGTCAATGGTGTACATGACGTTGAAATCCTGCTTGTATGAAGCAGAGAACAAACTCCATGTAGCAACACCTGTGTAAAACAAGCATTTCAATAGAGCCATTAAAAATATGCATAGACACCACAGCTGTCGTATACTGCTGCACCTTCACTGAATCACTTACTCTCAAGCCAGCGAAAGTGGGCCCCTCTTCTGAAAGACACAGTGGACATTGTGTCTCTGAAGGTGGTACACACTAGAGTGAGTGATGAGTACGCTTTGTCACCTTCCTGGAGAACCACTTCCATCAGAAGGTCCGAGAGAAGACAGTTTGGCAGCTGTGAAGTATTGGTCAGACTAGATCAAACATATTTAACAACACATTGACTAGACTGTTGCCAGCACAATCAAAATACCAAGATTCTTTGGGCTTCAGGTAGCAAAAAGACACATTTTTAATATTAATGTTGAATATATCACACACATTTTTCTTATGTTTTGTTATTCTTCTCCTTGAGGTAAAAAACAGCTATCAATAAAGTTAAAAAAAGCAGTGAGACATAATAGTTGGAAATTCTGCCGTGATCACAGGTCGTTTTTTAAACAAAAAACAGTTACTGCTTCACTGAAAAGATATTACCTCCAATATGAAGCACATGTCGGACTTTTGAAACTGGACCTTTGAAGGAAAATATAAGGTGTGGGTCATGTGATTGTTTAATTACATGTGTATACAATTATCAATATGTATGCATGTGTTAAATAATCTGGATCTGTCCGTGGCTATAAAAATCACATAATATCAGGATGAAAATGTAAATCAGTGTCAAAGAAACTGTTGTCTATAAAGTAACATTTAAAATGTATGATTTACCCTTCAATCTGGTACCGTTCCATGAGCATAATGCACCACCATTTCCGGATCTGTGCTATGTCCCGCTAAAAGAAAATGTAACAATAATAAAGTTGAAAATGAATGGAACCTCATCATTTGTCTACTCAATGTTAGCCCCCTCTTCCCCCTGAAATACTAACTCAGAGGATAAATACTGACCTCGGTAAACCAAAGTAGAGCATCTGTGCTGAAGTTGAGTGCATACTGTGAAAGGATAAAGATCTGTTAAGTTATGAGTTTCAAAAACTAACAAAACCCCTTAAAAAAAAGTGTCAAGGGAGGAATTTACCATCAGTATGAAGACACCACAGTCATTGCCCGTGGTTTGGTGAGGCTAACCCTGTAAGAATTTGGAATATAACAGTGATGTTCATGGTCAAATGGAAAATAAAGACATGTGAAAGCAGGTGTATGAGATGGTGGAGAAATGTACCTTGACGTCTCTGCCGAACTTTACTGTCCACTGACCTGGAGCAATGCGGTGCGCTAGGTCACTGTCAAAAGAAATGATAAGACATGGGAATTGATTTGGTGAAGGAACGCTATACACAATATAATTCATGTTTTTGGATTTCCTTACATTGAACTATTGCATGCCTTAAAAGAGGAAAGTTATGAAAGCCACTGAACGGGGCTAAAATAAAACAAACAAAAATACGTTTACCAGCCGCTGAACAAAGCTGAACTTGAAAACAACCTTTGAACAAGGCTTATAACAAAATGAATATTATAATTCATAGCATCCTGTTGCAGACTCTTTTTCTTTTGGTTCCACTAAGGACACTCCAGACTTTGTGGAAATGGAGATATATTATAAATGAATTTGATCAGATTCAGACCCCTGGTCTACAAGATGGTTACTGCAGTATTAGAATACTATAAACTATTTAGAACTCCCATACAAGCCACAGAACGGTGAGGGGGTAATCATGTTACAAAAACCTAAATATGTCCTTGTAGGAATTGTCCCCAAAGCCATCTGGCTTAAGAGGGTCGAGCAAATATAACTCTCTCTTTGCTGGCTTGATCACCTGTCAACCATTGACAAAATAGCTGAAATTAGACATAATCAAACACCAGAAGAAAACCACACAGCACAACTTATGTTCATTTTGTACATGCTGGTGAGATCATTTGGAACAGACTCACGCAAAGCAAATAGTGATCTGCCTTTCCTTGCTGCCGACTCCAGGCAGGGATGAAAACCATGTCCTTGGTGGCCAATTGGTCAGCCTAGTATTTTAAACAAGGGATTTTAAGTTGCTGTATATCAATTTCAAGAAACATAGGTCTCAAGCAACAGGAACTTACTGGAAAACTGGCCAACACGTCAGCTGTTTTGGACTTCCAGGTAGGAACCACATACATATCCACGATGTATATATCTTTGCCCTATATTGATAGTTTTTCAAAAAAAATGAAATCTTCATAGAAGTATGTTCAACAACAAGAGACAACCACACTTCACGAGATTGGAGTTTCACCACTAAACAGCTATTTAGAAAATATGTGTTATTCAAAAGAAAAAAGCAGGCCAATGATGTCTGTTGAAAACCGTACATGTCTTTGGGTGGCTTCTTGTACCATCTTCAGGCACGTGTTTCCAATCTGAAACAGTAACAACAGTAAGTTACCTGTGCCATTTATTTGAGACAAGATGAAGTTGGGAGGAAAGCTCAAGTATACCTACATTTGACTCCATGCACTGAGGAAGACCCAGGCTCCAAAAGTCCTCTCTGGTCAGGCACACATCACCCTCCTTCACAATGACCTCTGCTCCAGGCCTATTGTGGTCTAGCACATAGCTGAGCTGCAAATAACAGATTGCAAAACATACTTCAAGCCAATAGAAAACATAGAAAAATTAAAATCAAAACAATGCACCTCCATCACTGTGCATGAAGTAAACATATATCTACCAGCTTGTCTTGAATCGGATGTAGATCCTTTGCGTATTTCGCACCAGAGAGGGCATACTGGTGGTCAGCAACAGACCCCTCCGAATCCAACTTCGGTTTCAGCTGTTATTAGATAGACAAAAAATAAACAGTATTATTGAAGTACCACACATGAAGTATACCTAAAATGTGTCCTTGTATTGATAATCAAAATACCTCTCAACATAGGCCTGATAAAGGGCTTCAGCTGAGACACATTCACACTCTGTCTCAGCTGAGCTCCTGTTGAGCTCAACAGGGTTGCCACACCCTTGTTGGTGATTGAGGAAACCACATAAGGGCCAAACCAGTTGCACTCCAGTTTTCCACCTTTTCGGCCCTCCTTCCTCTTATTCGCTCTTAGGACCTCATCTCCAACGTTAATCAGGAAAGATTTCACATTCTTTCCCTTGCGTTTTTCAAAAGAGATTTTCTGTCTCTGTTGTGCTATTTGGATGTTCTGGTAAATCTGAGAAAGATATGTAACAGTTATCATTTACAGTCCTTAACATACGCTTGCATTTTTTAGGAGTTATTATGTTTTAAATATTGCCATTTTATTCTCACCTTCGAGTGCAAATCTGCAATGGTTGCAGCCTTTGCCTCAAGCTGCTGTTCTGCCTCATCAGCAGGCACCAACACAGAGGTATCATCCCTGTCATTGACTGTAGCATTTATAACACCCGGGACGCGAGGGTGCCTCCCAAACTGGGCAAAATAGGGCGTGCACTTGGTTGACCTCTGAAAGCATAAAAATTCCTTTTAGTATCTCTGTTGAGTATTGTTTCCATCTGCATTTGTTACAACATTGTACCTGCTTTGAGGTGTTAATGCTCGCCACAATGCCCCTCAGATGTAAATCCCAGTCATTCTGGTCCTCTCCACAGTACTTTGCAAGTGCTTTTTTTATGTTTGGGTTTGTACGCTCATCTTGGCCATTGCACTGGGGATGGTACGCTGAAGTGATGCAGTGTTTTACACCCAGTGCATCAAAAACACCACGGTTGACCTGCAGATGGTTTAGTGTACACCAATTACCAAATTACCTGAAAAATCGTATTACATTGTTACACATAACACATACACTGTATTAGATAGATTATTGTACCTCATTGACAAATTCCCGTCCTTGGTCGGTAATGATCTTCTCGACAAGACCGAAATCTCGAAGAATATTCACAATCTTTTTTGAGACCTCAACAGCTGTTTTGTGGTAGAGCGTTTTTGCTACCACCCACTTCGTGAACAGATCAGTCGCTGTTAGAATGTATCTGCAATATAAAATGCAGAATGTTGTAAATACATACAGAATCACTGTAAATGATTTCCTTTCTTTTTAAACCAGATTCTTCACGTTTAGAACCTTTAAAGGAGGTTACACATGCTTCAGCCCATCATGATAGTACCTTTTGCCCTTAGCAGTGGAGGGAAGTGGGCCAATGAGATCCACACCAAGGACAGTCCATGCCTCGGGAACATGAATGGGATGCAGTACGGGTGCAACCGTTTTAATGACCTCGTGTTGCTGGCAGCGGGGACACTCATCAACCTTAGCAAATATCATACATTTTCAATCAGCAAAACAAAAAACTTTAGGTATAAAAATGATAGAACAGAGAAAACTTTCAGAGGAGACAGAATTAAACTGTTAAAGTTCTGAAATATGTTTTCTCTGCTCTGATGGAGCTCAAACTGTCTCACTCTGTTTCAATGTACACATACAACACATTTCTGTAGATCAATAATCAGTCAGTCAGTCAAAAACTCCCACCCATTTCTTCACGTCCTCCCGCATAGTGGACCAGTGGTACGTTGCCAAAACCTTCTCGGTGGTGCGCCTTCTCCCTGCATGACCTCCGGAACCCAGGTTATCATGGCACTCCTTCAGGACATTGATAATTTGGTCCTTGGTGCACACAACCATCCTCTCATTGTCCTTGTATGTGTAGTACAAATCTCCAGCTGGCACAACAGGAACAAAAAAACAATCATTTAGACATGTGTAGAGATGACATTATGACTAAAAGCTGTTCAAGAAATCCAGTGGCAAATGTGGTTTAGACGTAACAACTACAGTAATGTAAAGTGTGTATAAAAAGAAAAAGGAGAAACAAGCTGTGGAGTCCTTGCGATTTACTGAAAAATGTTGGAATTGCAATATGATAAACCATTAGAGGTATGATCACTTTTGCACCAAAAAACACCATTAGATAAATAGATAGATAGATATATACTTTATTGATCCCTATAAGTAAAGGGATGTGATGATGTCACATGTACAGGGGGTTTATACCTCATAATAAAAACGTATGTTCGTGACTTAACCATGGTCTTATTCTGTTACTTACCTTTGATCAGGTATTGTTTGGATGCCCTCCGAATGAACGCCTTCCTTTTATCATGCTTTTCAGCGGCGATGGTGAGATTGTGGTAACCACCATTGAGCACGTACTGCTTTATCTCAGCATAAAAGCTCTCCATTTCTGTCATGAAAGTTAAAATGTTCGCGGTAATTATGGGGAAGCGGAGGGATCTAGATCGTTCACACATAACAAGCTGTACCGAGTTCCTCCGGCTGCAGTTCCGCAGACGGCCGGTGTGTGGCAGCATAGCGCTGGGAGCAGAGGGAGGTGAGTATATGACGGATATGACGGATGACGGATGCGACGGAAATACACCCGAACATATTTGGTAGGCCGAACATATCTGGTACTGACACCGGGACGCCAATACGGAAGTGCCACACACTGCAGTTCATATATTGGCCGATAGGGACTGGCTGCAGAAAGGAGCAATTTCCATAGACCCCCATGTTAAAATGCCCAACTTTACAGCAGAAAAAAACATGTTTCTACCCATGGATGCAATACATATTATTATGAATATAGTTAAGTTCCACCTTCATGATTATGGATCTGTGAGTGAATTGTTTTCTAACACGACCCTTTTATTTATATTAGGTCTTAAAATGTTTTGCATAAATTAGGGCGTGGTCACATTGAGTGACGGCTCTGTCAAGTGACTGCTGCTGCTAGCTTCTTGTCTCTCTGCTAGCTGCTCCGTGAAGCTAGCTACTGGGACTCTGCCTGCTCAGCTCATCCAGGGAACACAACTTGAAGCCGGCCGTGGTTGTTTGTTCTTCATGCTTATATATC